ACACGAGCGAGAAGAGCGTGAAATACTCGAACAGCGACGCCAAGAGCTCCTCAAGAGGAAGCAGAAGCTTATTGCTGAGAACAAGCGAAGGAAGGATGACCTGGCCAATCTAGATCAAGACTTGGAGAAGTTCATCGATGTAAGCTCAGAAATCAAGTATCTTGCAAATTTTAGTGCTAACACTCCGTTTAGGCCGCAAAACCCATCCTCGAGCTGTTCGAAAAGGCACCTTGATATGCATTTAGTCTTTTTTCTTTGCCACCGTTTTTCGCCCTTAGTGTGCAGCTATGAAACTTGTACACGAGATATTCTAGAAATGCTCGCGTAGCATAATAACGGCCACCAATCACCACCTTTATGATACCCTTAATCCACGCAGCTTCCGGTCCTCATCCAGCGAGATCAGCATCGAACAGAGGATGTTCAGCATATACACATCCAGTCGATGAAGAAGAAATTGAATGACGTCTATTCCTGGCCTGCTATTGAGGAGAGGGCTATATTGTCGGATCTCTACTAGATCGATTCCAAATACCCCGTATCTTCGCGGTCGCGTGGTCAATGACAGGCTCCAGGAGCCGAGCCACCTGATCTTGTCCTGCCGTTCTTGTTTGGTTGCCGGAAAGGATTGTCTCAGTGGTCTTCATGTTTTCACAATTGTGTTTTCTTACTGAAATAGATATAGCCTGTGCACATATCAATTTCCTCTTTTTAAGCTTGCATTTCTCTTCTTATCTGGTCTACCTGATATGATTCCTATTACCATGCGCAAAGCAACTACAACAATAGCAGGAGACTATAAAGGCAATGCGCCGGTTGATACAATGAGAAAAAATTACGCAGCTATTTTCGGTTTTGTAGTTTGGTTTTTTGGAGATAATAATCAATCTAAAGCCGAATATCAAATACCATTCTGAAGAATATCCTTTGCTATTGTGTAAACTGCCCTGAGCCTAATGTACAAACTTGCAGACGATGCGTCTGCAGCCAAATAATAATAGTTGTAGTGCAAATAAAGCAAAATTCCCACTGTCGTTTTTCTCCTTGATTAGCTGCAGAGGCAGGCTTAATAGTTTAGCTCAGCGCCCCCGTTTCCGCCACCAGACACTTGGTCAAGGTCTTCGTAGCTCTTCAAACTACGGCCCTGCACAGCTTCTCGGGGGGCGGCGGCCGCAGCGCCAGCTCCGTCTCCCCATCGCGACCCGCCGTTGCGGTGTCGACCACCGCCTCCATCCCAGCGGTTGCCACCACGACGATCATACGGTGCAGAACGATATCCGCCTCGCCCACCAGACATTCCGCCTCGACGGACAGGGCCCCCTGAGCGGTCGTCGCCCGCAGAGTTCCAGTTACTTGCTTGCATGCCTGCAAACAGCGAGGGAAAGTTTCCGGGACCCATGGGGAATCCGGGCATGCCCATCACGCCATTCATGGAGAAGTTTTGTAGATTGAAGCCACGAGGGGTACCTGATGCTGATTGGCCGCTGGTAGGTGGGAAGTGACCGTTTGAATTCGCGTCGGTTCGCGAAGGAGCAATATGTGCTGGATCTGAGACGTAGGCGTTGATAAGTTCAAACTATTTCTAGCGTTAGCAAAAGAAAGAAGAAACAGGCAAGATTGCAGCAAAGGTGAGATTCGCCGTACCTCTTGTTTCAAGCCATCCAACCATTCCCCATGTCTTTTTTCTACATGCTTCTTCCAAAAGTGATCTTCTTTGAAAAGCTTGGTACACTCTGGAACTTTGCATCTCCATTTATGTTCGTCCTCCTGCTTGACATGTTTGGCCAGCTCTTCATCAATAGCCTCATCAACTGGTCTGCCACCAAGCTTGCGAATATCAACGGCATTGGGTTCCAGGATCTGCGTTAGCTTGTCCTCAAAAGTCTTAACCCAGTTATAGGCGCGGAGAAGCTGTTGCTCAGTTTTGGAAGACAAATTGCGGAACTTTTTGTTGTCTCCCTCCACCGACTCTCCGTCAGCCTCATTATCGCCCTCATTTCTTTTCTTGTCGGGGAAAGGATCTCCATTCGCACTGGCCCTAGCAACGGCCCTAGCGGAAGATGTGAGAGTACTTTGAGGTCGGCGTAGATGTCCACCAGCGCATTTTCGTGTAAGCTCATGCACAGAGTCGCTCTCAAATACGCAAAAGAAGCAGAAGTGGAAGACGCGGCGCAAATACTCGATCAGCAGGTCGAGCTGCTTCTTTTTCACCAACATCTCCTCGTCATCAACTTCCTCATCTTCCACAGCCCCTTCTTCCTCTTCCTCTTCTTCAGCGGCCTCCTCATCATCGTCCATTGCTTCATCCATTCCAGGCTCCCGAGTCTTCGTCTTCTTTGTTGGAGTGGGGGGGATCGCAGGCTGTAGGCGACCGGCGTTTTTTAGATCGTCAACTTTTTCTTCGATTTTCAAAATGGCCTGGAAATCAGAGCCGAAGTCTTCTTCGTACTTGTTGACTAGCCGTTTAACCAAGCGAAGGTCCTTTTCAATTCGCTCTGGCGCGGAAAACAAGTCCCAAAGCGCTTTCTTTCTGGGATGAAGGGGAGGGTTGTGTACTCCGACATGGCAGACAAAGTCTCCTCGAGCCTCATCTTTGACCGTCTTCCCGTTTACAGCTTCCAGAGCTTTCTCCGCGGCCGAAGCAGGGGGAGGTGGCGATCTTATTGCTACGTCTCCATCTTCATCTTCGGGGTTTGCGCGATCCATTGGCGGCGCGCTATCCGAAGAAGGATGAAGCATAACCCAGCCAATACGGTGATATCTCTTGCTGGGGTTTGGGTCGGAAAGAGATAGCCACTTAAAGCCGCCTTCCTCTTCTCCGAGATTTTCTCTGCAGAAGGCTTCTAGATTCTGGCGACTAACATGAGGAGCAATAGTCTTGATAAGGAGAGTGGGCTGAAATTGATTTTCATCACGGATATCAGCCCCGTTCACGGGAACCAAATCGCCGACTCCCAAAATTTCGTTAGCGGCTGTTGCTTCGCCCTCCTCCTTTTCAATTATACCACCAGCTCCATTACTTTCGCTTTTTGGAATGCCCTCAAGAGAGAACTCGTCAAAAATGCCAGATTCTAAATCTTGCTCCCACTGACCATACGCGGTTCGTCGAAAATCTTGGAGCTTGGCTTTGAATTCATCCCTGATTTCAGGAACATATCTTTCTTTGAACCATTGCTCTTTTTTATGTTCCGAAACGAAGGCCCTGGCCATCTTGGCTTGGAGCTCTTCTTTATACGCATCGTATGCTACTTGGATTTTGGCTTTTTCTTTCTCACGATCCTCTTGGGTGTCTCGAGAACCTCTATTCCTGTCGGGCTCTCGTCTCCGCCCTGTTCGGGCGTGCTCTTTATCGTCCCTGATTTTTTCGTTCATTCTCCACCATTCACCGAAGTAGGAGAATCCAACTTGATAAGGAAGCTTGGATGGATCTGCCAGAGGGTTTACGGGAACGCTAGCTGGTCCACTGTCCTGCCCAGGCACGTAGCGATCGATGTTCGCCGGTGGTGAGGCTATGCGACGTCGGTCCTCTCGGTCTCTATCGTCACGGCCATCACGACGAGGTCGAGGCTCGTATCGGTCAACCGGAGGCGGGGAACGTGAACGTCGGCGGTCTCGGCGCTCATTGCCTGGAAATCACGGTGGTTAGTAAGTTGAAATAACCATCAAGCGGTAATAGCTCGGCAAGACAAACCAGGAGATCTCGCGCGGTAGAAAGTATCACCTCTGTCATCTCTACTTCTCGAATCGTCGCGGCCCCATGTTCTTTCATTGGGTGATCGAGCCGGGCCGTCACGATAAGATCCTGAATAGGAGTCCATTTTCTGTTGGCAGTAGTAAATAGCTGAAACGAAGAATTGGCTTCAGTTTCAGATTGATAATCAGTCAAATAATATCGAACATCAGAGGCAATGCTCGTTCCTATGGAGGATTCGATTGGAAGAGCGCCCTACTGGATGGCGGTAAAACGGCGGTTAGAGAAGACATTCTGACGAAAGATTGGATGAATAGAAGAGAGAAAGAGAGAAAGAGAGAAAATAGGACGTGTATAGCAAAATCGCTAATGCCAAAAAAGAGACAAATAGACCCGGCACGGAGGTTGGACAACGAGAAGAGCTGAGTGGACAATAGAGGAGAGCAAAGAGGCAGAGAATTGCCGATCGATTGCCGAAAGCTTGACCAAGCCACGGCGGCAAGAGGGAGAAGGACAGGTAGATAGTAAGGGGAGGAGAGGACAAGGAACAGAGAGGAGAATTGAGGTGGACAGACAAGTCGAGAAAGGGATGACGAACTGAATTGATAAGCGCGGATCCGATCAAAGGCGATTGCGCGACTGCGTGGTGATGCGCCCCAGGGACAGCCGCAGGAGAGTGAGATGAAGAGATGAAGTTGGCAGAGGCTGAGAGCCATCCACAGGTGGAGCCGAAGACGGCCGCGACACGCGAAACGCCAGTCTCTTGTGGGGGAGTGGATATTGCAGCATAAGCACTGTGCAGGATCGCATATTGAATCTGACTCACATGCACAGTGCTTAGAAATGAAGATACTGTGACTCGCCGCTAGCACGTGTGGATAGTATTACCTAATCAGCATCTATCTCCACCATAGCTGGAGAGTGGCGATCTCCGACTACCGATCCAGCACGTACGTGTGCCCAACTGCCTCAAAAGGAGCGTCATCTTGCTTACTAGCCCTGGATCGCTGGAACTTAGACATTATACTTATACCCATCTAACGCCTTTCCGATTTGACTGGCGGATCTTCGCCCGTTCATAGAATGCGGCAGTTGAACCTATCACATCCGGCATTGGCAATCAGTTGTCAAATGGGTTGACACAAACACAGTCTCCCTGGAACCAACCCCTCTCCGTCTATCCTCGGGTATTTCTTGCGAGCCTTCGTCTTACTAAAATATTCGATTGGAGACATTGGTTGATAATTTTCACATACTGCAAGTATCAACTGAGCAGACATCGCTTGTACATGAAGTATTGGTCAGCAAGATGGCCCGGTTTCAATACAACAGCGCGGTCGAAGCATTCCGTGACCAGGAATACCCAATGCTGCAAGGTAACTAGTATTCGAAACATGTCCCATAGCCTTGAAGTGCATTATCTAACTGATAGGACCTGTATAGACTCCATATATCTGGATCATGCCGGGACCACGCTGTGCTCAAAGTCTCTAATGGACTCGTTTGCGCAAGAGATGACATCGGTTCTCTATGGAAATCCACACTCCGGGTCATTGCCGTCGCAGCATTCCACATCAAAGATTGACGAAATACGGGTACGGCTTCTGAAATTCTTCAAAGCCGATCCCGAACAATATGATTTGGTGTTTGTGGCGAATGCAACTGCTGGCGTGAAGTTGGTGGTTGAGGGCATGAGATCCTTGCCAGAAGGTTATGTCTTTGCCCATCACCAAGCCTGCCATACCAGCGTCGTTGGGGCAAGAGAAGAAGCGCATCAAAGCACCTGCCTCGACGACACTGGAGTTCAATCTTGGCTAGACGGTGAAAGTCCATTTAAGCCAATGGCATCTGGCAACTGTACAACGTTATTCGCATACACAGCTCAGTCTCATATGGACGGCAGGAGATATCCCCTATCATGGGCCAAGAAGCTGAAGGATAGTCAGACTCAACCATCGCCTCGGATACTGACACTCTTAGACGCGGCTTCACTCAGCGCCACTTCACAACTCGACCTTTCACATCCCAACTTTGGTGCGGATTTTGTTGTTTTAAGTTTATATAAGATTTTTGGATTTCCTGACTTGGGCGTTCTCCTTGTCCGGCGTTCTGCGGAGTCTATATTCAACCATCGAAAATATTTTGGCGGAGGCACGGTGGACCTGGTGGTCTGTGGAGACGAACCGTGGCATGCTCGGAAGTCTTTATCTCTTCATGAGCGTCTTGAAGACGGGACACTACCATTCCACAATATCATTGCCGCTGGCATAGCAATATCAACTCATCAACGGCTTTTTGGCTCCATGGAGCAAATCAGTTCTCACACAGCATATCTAAGTCGTGAACTCTACCGTGGGCTGCACGATCTACGGCACGCGAATGGGAACCCTGTTTGTCATATCTATTCAGATATACCCGATGATACGACGCTATTTGATACTGGGCCAGTTATTTCTTTTAATATTCAAGACAGTCGTGGTTTATGGGTTGGACTTGTTGAATTTGAGAAGCTGGCCATCTTGAAGAAAATGCATTTAAGGACAGGGGGTGTGTGCAGCCCTGCTGGGATTGCTTCTGCTCTCGATCTACAACCGTGGGAAATGAAACGAAATCTTTCTGCTGGAATTCGATGCGGCGAAGACAGTGGCCGATTTATTAACAAACCTACTGGCATTATACGCGCCAGTCTAGGCGCAATGAGCACGAAATCGGATGTATCTCAATTCCTGGCTTTTATGAAAGAGTTTTTTGTGGAGGAACGGTTAATGACTCAGATCCATCCTCCGTCGAAAGCTCTTGGTCCGTCGTCAAAGCTTCGGGTCAAAACTATCACCGTATATCCAATCAAGAGCTGTAGCGGCTATGTTATTCCACCTGGAGTTCGTTGGGAAGTGCGGCCAGAGGGGCTAGCTTGGGATAGAGAGTGGTGCTTGGTTCACCGAGGCTCAGGACTAGCTCTGAGCCAAAAGAGATATCCGCAAATGGCTCTATTGCAGCCTTTGCTACTCTTTGAGGAGAAGGTGCTCCGCGTGAAATATCGTGGAAGCGCGCCGAATGGGCAGCCGACATATGTGGATATACCGCTATCCAACGACCCATCTCTCTTTGACAAAAACTTCCGCCAAACAAGCTCTAGAGTTTGCGGAGAAAATATCTCAGCACAAGCCTACCTCTCTGAGGACATCAATGACTTTTTTACCGACTCTCTTGGGATTCCATGCGTGCTAGCAAGATTTCCAGCAGGAGGCCGGGGAGCCAGTAGCAGGCTCTCTAAGGCTCGGATGCAGAAGCATCAGCAGACAGAAAGTACTCAAAGCTGCCAGTACCCTTCTTTTCCTGGTGTTCCCTCCCCCCCTGATTCGGATTCAGAGCAGCAGAGCCAGCCGGGGAAGATTCTTTTATCCAATGAGAGCCCAATTCTCATGATAAGTACGTCTAGCGTGGAATCGCTCAATCAGAGCATCATGAAGACTGGGGGATCAGCTGTGGAGGAAGCAGTATTTCGGGCGAATATCGTGATTGAGACTTGGCCAGGCCAACAAAGCTGGCCTGCTTATTCAGAAGACATGTGGAGGATGGTTAGTATCGGAGACCACGGCTTCAAACTCCTGGGAGCCTGCCAGAGATGTCACATGGTATGCGTGGATCAAAACACTGGCGAGAGAAGGCAGGAACCGTTCGTAACGCTTGCAAAAACGAGGCGTCTGAACGGCAAGGTTTATTTTGGTACACATATGCGGCATGAACCTACAGAGCGATACGACGAGTTAGATGCTCGGAGGCCCACAGTACAAGTTGGAGATGTTGTAGCCGTGGAGGAAGAGGCGCCTGATACGTGCCGCGAACGACGATAGCCTGAATGCAATACTATTTTAAGACACAGTCACAGACCGACTCTTACTGTGTGTATGATTTTGAACTATGCTACCGGAAGTATTGTCTGAAGATCTCCATTTATTGAATTCCTCGGCATGGCCAAGCCACCTTTGAGGCGAATAGACGCCTCGTTGTGGAGGACCACGTTTTTTTAGGCCAACTTTTCGGATTCTCCCCCTTACTCTCCCTTGCTGGAGATCCTAGTGCGATTTATCGCATTCCCGCACGCGGCTATGGAATATTCCATTCCTGGCTTCCCCCTTATGGCTGATGTAAAATGTCTTACCCTGTGTTCTAATCTTAGCCCGAAATCAGTGCGCATCCAGATTCGAGCGGGTGGCTGGAGAAACAGACGAGCATGCATCCGTAATTGGTTGGTTCTTAATTTGTCTTTCTGATACAGCTCTAAGCGGAAATAATAGTCGCTATCCGTATGCTTGCCAGCCATTGAGTCACTGCTAACAAAGTATCCAACGCAGTAAGCGAGATCCCAATGAACAAGCGGGAATAGGGCCGTTTAAGATGTCGCGTGGCCCTTATTGACTCAACACTCAACAGGCTGTTAGCCACGCCAAAGCCACAAACGGGTCTTGCCGGTTCATCCAAACTCTCTTAAGAGCCACGCACCGGCATGGTTCCAACCTTTTATTTTCTCTCTCTGCATTCCTCTAATCACGGTGTAATGTACTCCGAAGCGGAAAGTTTATGATTATGTGGTCCAGACCGCGCAGCAATTCAGGAGATGGCGAGTCCGCCGTTCTCAATACCTCTGACACAGTGTCTTAGTGCTATCCCACTGCGGGATCATCGTCCACTACTTTTACTTTTGTTCATATAAGAAGCGGCAGGGAGCCTTGGTTTCAATATCATCACTGTTTCTTTACCTCGAATATTTTGCCATTGGCACTACATACTTGCGCTCAAAGTTCACACGCAATGCTCAAACTCTTTTGTGCCGCTCTGCCACTTGTGGCCAGAGTTGCCCTGGCTGCTCCAACCGTTGCTGAAAGATGTCAAGCTCCAGAGCAGCACTCAGTGCCTCTTTCTTCGCCAGTATCGAGTGGACTGACCGCTTCTCTGCCATTCGGCTCAGAGCCGCTGGATACTGAGCCCATCGTCGTGGATCCATTTGCTTCGCAGTCGTCACATCTAGAGCCATTGGCTCCCAATCCACTCGATCTAGGATCAGGCGCGGAATCTCCTGTACCGCCACTGTCAGATCCATTACTGGACAATCCCACTCCTGGGCCATTTTCTTCTCCGGCATCATCATCATCAGCTAGAAATGATACTTCTTCACAATCAGAAGCCAAACCTCCGTTCTTTAAGCCAAGCAACACTGGTACAACTAATGAAAAGAGCTCCTGGACAAGACCACAGGGGAAGAAGAAGAATGTTGTGTATTTTACAAACTGGTGAGCTTATCACGTCTTTTACAGCCAATCCTAACTTGTCGGGAATAGCTGCTAATAGTAGTAGGAGCATCTATGGCGCAAATTTTCTGCCTCAACACGTCCCCGCAGATGAGATTACGCATTTGCTGTATGCGTTTGCTGGAATTGCCAGCGATGGATCTGTGTAAGACTTGCCCCTAAAATAGAAGAAAGAGAGACAAGAGTTCTGTACTTTGATGGCCTGATTTGCTTACAAGACTTGCAGCATCTCGATTGATACTTGGGGCGACGAGCAGAAGCGCCTTGGCGACGACCAGAGCTGGGACGAATCCGGAAACAACGTCCATGGTGCTATAGAACAAGTATTCCTACTGAAGAAGACGCATCGCTCCATGAAGACTCTGCTTTCTATCGGCGGTTGGACTGCGTCGCAAGAGGGCAAGTTTGACCCTGCCATCAGTTCAGCTGCTGGCCGAAGCCAGTTTGCTCGGACTGCTGTTGAACTTCTCGCCCGTTGGGGATTCGATGGTCTTGATATCGACTACGAATACCCTCTTTCTGGAGAAGAGGCGGAAAATTTTGCGTATCTCCTCAGAGAGTGCCGAGAAGCTTTGGATGATTACGCCCAACGCAATAACCAAGATTACCACTACCTTCTCACTGTCGCGACACCTGCTGGCCCTCTGCACTATAACATTCTGGACATGCAGGGAATGGACAGATATGTCGATGCTTGGCACCTCATGGCCTATGACTATGCTGGCAGCTGGGACGACACGTCGGGAAATCAAGCAAACGTCTTCGCTGACCCTTATCATCCTACTAGCACCAAGTTCAACTCCAACGATGCAGTAGATGGCTACCTTGCCAATGGTATTGATCCTAGCAAGATTATTTTCGGCCTTCCTCTCTACGGCCGTTCATTCATGAACACCCAGGGCATTGGCCAGCCCTACCAAGGCCTGGGACAGGGCTCCATTGAGCAGGGTGTCTGGCTATATCGCGACCTGCCACGACCTAACTCGGATGTCTACATCAGTAGAAAAATCATCGCGGCATTCTGTTACGATGCAGCAACAGAAGAGCTCGTTTCGTACGATACCGTCGAGACAGCTCGAATGAAGGCCGGGTATCTCATGAGCAGGGGCCTCGGAGGTGCCGTCTTCTGGGAAGCTTCAGGTGACAAGACTGGAGAGGACAGCTTGGTTATAACCGTGGCCAGAGAATTGGGCGACTTGGATGACTCAATGAATATGCTTGATTACCCTGAGAGCCCGTTTGATAACATTAGAGGTGCAGCCTAGTAATCCTTGGCTAAGTACGGGGGATTCAAGCTGGCCCCTGTGGGCGATACGAGGTACAGATTGGTTTGAGTTGTACATTATATAGAAAACGGCCATGGGGCTTCTATTACATGATTGGCGTTGGGGTACACCAAAGGAGTGTTTTTGGTTGGAATTACTCTAGACTGTTTGCCTTGGCTCTTTGAATTTTGTTTTCTTCTTAAATACGCTAGATTACTGCTACCTAATAGTGGATATTTCCAAGACTTCTTCTATCAATAATCTATATATCCGTAATGGACTCTCTATATCTACATATCCGTGATGCCATATTGCCATGCACCTGAGTGCAATGCAGTTATCTGGTGTAAACAAAAAGGCACACGCGGCCAAGCTGCTTGAGAGTCTAGGTCAACTTTTCTTTTCTTTTCTTTTCTTTTCTTTTCTTTTCTTTTCTTTTCTTTTCTTTTCTTTTCTTTTCTTTTCTTTTCTTTTCTTTTCTTTTCTTTTCTTTNTCTTTTCTTTTCTTTTCTTTTCTTTTCTTTTCTTTTCTTTTCTTTTCTTTTCTTTTCTTTTCTTTTCTTTTCTTTTCTTTTCTTTTCTTTTCTTTCCTTTTCTTTTTCTTTTTTTTTTTTTTTTTAACTTTGAGTTGACTTTACGAGTATGACCCCTGTCCAACCAGCCTTCTTACTTTTTCTCTTTCCCACTTACCTTTCCCAGTGTTCCCCTACATCTACCAATGGCCACCACATATCTTATCACCAAACATGTTCCTCGAAGCGGCCTTCTCATCACAAGACTCCGCCTGACAGAGCTCTGCTGGATCTCCAGCCTACGCCAAGATCAGCAATTGAGATGCCTCTTATTTCCTCGATAAAGCGAATCTTCCCAACCAATGGAAGCCATGCTTGCATCTGCGCACAGAGTGTACTCTATCCGCCCCCATATTTCAAGTGCTTGGAACGAGGAGCAAGTCGGGTCCAACATCGTATCGTGATGCTACATACAAGTACAAGTAGTATCTCTTCCCCACCTGCATACCCAAGGTACCTAGCCAACTACTAAGGTAGTCACATGCAGGCAACAGAACGCTTTGTTATATATTCTCGCTGGTCCGGGCAAACATGCCCATCGACTTCTTCTCTGCTCTCCTCCTCTGATCCAGCTCTCTGCATCACTGCCCACCACCACGAATTCGATTTATCCTCCTGAGCCCCAATTTCCATCCAGCCAGAAAAAGCCATGGCCATTCCAAAGCACATCAAATCTCTCCCGGTCGGCACACCCGTCAATCTACAACTCCTCAGCAGCTCAGCCGGAGAGTTTCGCAAGGCCCATCCGTCTGCATCAGGCCGACCGTACGACAAGGTTGTGGTTGGAGCGGCTGCTCTTCAGCATGCCTCTGGCTCTCCTTCCCAGACGCCGCGCATCCTTCTCTTGAAAAGGGCGCCCCGCGAGCCGTATTACCCAAACGTCTTTGAGTTACCCAGCGGGAAGGTCGACCCGGATGATCCAACCCTCAAACATGCTCTTTTCCGCGAGGTGAAGGAAGAGACCGGCCTCGACGTGGCTGAGATTCTTGCTGAGCTAGAGCCGATGATATATTCAACCGAAAAATCAACCACCGGGGCAGCTGGCGAAGAAGTGCTTGTTTCTAAAAGCGCTATTCAGCTCAACTACGTCGTTTCAGTCTCTCCTGGTACAATCAAGCTTAGTGCAGATGAGCATTCAGAGAGTTGTTGGGCTAGCGAAGCAGACTTGGCTGGGTTGGATATTACAGATGCGATGAGAACTGTGATCCGGGAAGCATTTCAGTGGGCTTCAAGCCAGTAATCTCGTTGGCAAACACTATATACATGCAACATGGCAGCAGAATCACAAGGGGTAGAAGTAGTATTTTATTATCAACGACATTTGGTACGGTGCCCTTCAAGACATGCTGTGCATAGGCATCTTATTACTTCACATCAGACATTACATATACGCCAGGAAATCATGATTATTCAGGAAAGCTAGGTTCCTTTAACAATTTAGGCATATAAATAAACCAGATGAAAAAAAAAAAAATGGCAAGATTCAAGCATCATACTGTTGCTGCTGCCAGTTCAGTTTCACTTCCGTATCGCTAAACCAAAATTCCAAAACGCCCCTCATCATACAGCATGTCCAACCAGTTTCCTCATGCCAATGTGAGCTCCCGTTGGAGAATCTTACTTGCACAGAGTTCTTGCCCAACGAGCTGTAGCAAAGTTGTGTAGGGTCTATGCATTCTTCGGTTTGATCAACACCCAGTCTGCATTGTCCAAGGCCCCGTTTCGACCCATTCCCATACTCTAGCACAATCCCTCGGCATGCTGGAGCACCTCTTTCATAAAACACTCGAGTCCGAATGACATCGTTTAGAGGAGCCGATGAATAAGTGGCAGACATGAATGGCTGTCTCCTATACTGGAAGGTAAACGTAGAGACAGCCTCGGCATCTTTTTGCTCGTCTGCTTCCAATTGTTTGGCGTAGCCACCTACAAAGGTTACCGCCTCGCCATCCGGCCTTTCGTATATAAGAGTGAGAGGATGCTGGATCAACTGCACATCTTCGTTTCTCATCCTATAAGTCGACCCCACAACTATATCCCCTGCCAATTTCAAACGCAGCTGTTTTCCCCTCCATCAGCGAGTTTCAACTGTATACATGTCGCTAGGGATTTAGAGTAACTCACGTAAAAGCGCGCATTGTTATAACCACGGCTCCAGCCAAGGGCAGTAATTGTGTCTTCGGTGCCAAGAGGAACATGAACCCACTGGACAAGAGGCTGAATGTTTGGGCTCAAGGCATTGAATGTGCGCTGCGCGGAAGCCTGTGCCTTTGTGTGTGTATGAATAGCCCATACCAAACTATGACATATAAAAAACGTCAGGCCTGTGGAGTTGCGGGTGTCAATAGTCGATAGATGGCTCTTTGCACGCGCAGAGTCGTAATTTGCATCTACAACACACTCTTGCCATGGTGGGGGCGAAGGTGTATCCCAGACTCGAAATTGGTCTGGCCTGCCCGTAAGCTGAAGCCGGGCAAATGGATACTAAGCAGTGACAATAAATCAGTCAGCGCCTCGCCACAGAGAGATTGTAACTTATAAAACGCACGTTATACTCCACATACGCAGAGGCAAAGCATTCAGCTGCCTCAGCGACATATACAACTGTGTCGGGTTGTGAAGGCTTGCTATCAGCATCAGTATAGCCCTTCGGGACCCGTTTTATACTCCGCAAGCCGTGAGAATCGATGGACAGGACTATAATAATGGGTTTCTGCGCATCACTCTCCACTTCGCCATGTCTAGCGCCCTTGCTCATGATCGGGTGTGAACCACGCTGCCACTCTTCGACTGCATCGATGGGAATCATTTCTGGCGTTTTGTCATGCCCCAGGTTCCACCATCGTGCATAGGACCAGAAAGACAAATACCGATGCAAGCAGCTCTGGCTGGATCGTTTATAAATCATGAGTGCCAATTCTTTGGGCAACAATGACAGACTGGGCATGTCACAAGCCTGGGCTGCGCGATCGATGAAGTGCCTAACATCAACAACAGGAGAAAGGCCGTGATGCAGAGGCCGTGCGCCATTCCAAGGACTTCTCCACGTCGCAGCAGTCCATAGCCAGGGCACTTTATCCTCCGTTGCTGACAGCTGCTCAGAAAACTCCAGGCATTCCCTGTGAAACGTAACGGTTGGGGCTGCGGAGATACACTCTTTACACTTCGGGCGGCTGCAATACAGCCATTCAGCCGTGTATCCGGTATCGCTATATGTTGAGTCCTCGTACAATATTGCTGGGGAAGTGGCCCGAATGGCATTATCGCCTTGTTTGATCACTAAAATGGAGTATTAGTGGGTATGGCGAACAGCATATACAGAAGGTAAGGACGGTAGCGAGCCATCTTACGCGCAACCACAGCCTCGCTGGCTGTAAACGCAAAGCTGCACGCGCCACATTGGGGATGAATGCGGACGTGTTCAACCATGGCGTAATATTGCCGACGGATGAGACTCAGAAGAGAGACTGTCCTATCGCAGCGGATTTCGAGTGCTGATCGTGGGAAAATCTAACCCACATCACTGAGTAACCGCTCACTTAATGGGCAACAGGAAAGCAAGGGAGCACCCCCTTTGCGGACATCCCTCCTCTAGAACGTGACGTAAGAACTGCGGGGTTGTGTTTTGTTTGCCTTGCCCAGAAATGATCTCTTTATGATTTTTGCAAGAACGCGGCCTGGGCTTTCTAATACTGAAGTTTTGAGTCTTTTTTTTATATGGGATTGCCCAGGTATAAGCATATACTCTGCAGGCGAGGAATGGACCAGCAGCCCATGTTATTTAATTAACTGGGGCCAGGGGGGGCATGATGTGTTTATGCAATTCCTGTTTTTAGCGAATTCGGAGATTTCAGAGAGACTTTTATGAAAGAGAATACAGCATATACAAGCACTTCCTAGCGTCTAGTGTAATAATTCAAATACAAGTACATAACAGCCAAAGGCGGCAGAGGCAGCAGAAGCAGAAGAATTATCTTCCCAGAAAACACCCTGCCGTTTTCATTATAGTGCAGTAGCATTCAAACCACCGGCTAGGCAATATCCACTCATCTACTACCAAGAGACAAAAAAAAAAAAAAAAAAGG